CTTGCTTCCCAAGGCAGTGGTGCATGTCCCGCTGCAGACAGATAGCAGAGAGGAGCGAGTGCGTGTGTGTGTGTGTGTGTGTGTGTGTGTTTGGGGCTTTTGGGGGTTACACCGCTTCCAGCCATTAGCTCAATGCTGGTCACAGAAGGTCAGATAAAGATCAGAAACTGGCAGGAGGTCGAAGTGCTCTTTCCAGTGGACATGTCTCGACGCGTTCCCCGGTCCTGACCGATCATCCCAGCTCCTCCAGGGCCCAGTTCACCCTTGTTGGCTTCTCTACACATAAACAATACGCACAGCCATGACGTTTGATCAGCCTGTTTCAGTTTGTTGAAGCTGAGACCCCTGAAGCTTGGCCATGGGCGTTTGGACATCTGGAGCAATGTCATTTTCCATTTGAAACAGATTGGCTTCTTGTCAAAGTGAGTCTGTGAGCAGTTAATAGATAACACTCAGTTCTTAAGCCTAAACAGGCATATAATTCAGGTTTTATTGACTTCCAGTGACGGCCTGTTAGAGGACACAAAGGAAGCAGGGCCTCCTAAAAATGTATTAAAATATTACCGTAAATTTCTACATATATGGCCTAAGTAAAAACTAAAGAAACTTTAAAATTAACTGTTTAATTTAACCTAGCCTTTTCTAATTCATTTAAATATATTCATATATCTTTGATACTTATTTATTTTCATATTTTATTTAAATTTTTCTTTCATGCCTATAGGCACAATTTTACTAAGCTCTGCCCATGGTTACTGTTGCTCAGCTTCATTTTAGTGTATCTTGAGAACATGAACTTATCAAATTATATACAGGTAAAGTTGTATTTGTTGTCGCTGTTCTCTTTTTGACCAATTTTAATATCCTTTCATGTGAAAAAAATACTGCTTATATCATCTCTGGGCACCTTCACTGTAAAAAAAAAAAAAAAGACCATAATCTTAATGTAAAAATACTGTAAAATACTGCTAAATGTAAAGTTTTGGAAGTGAAAAAGAATAAGTCATCTTAAAATTGACATTGAAAACCCTGTGAATTGACATTTCCAGAATCCCCTGTGTGGCACTTCACATTTGATGGTTTTGATTGAAATAACTGTTTCTTTTTTTCTCCTTCCTATCAGTTATGTATATATTATGATTTTATGTTACAGCTTATGTTAAATTAATATTTACTGCATTATTTTAGTGTCATGTGCCACCATGCCACCAAAGCTGCTTGTTTATTCATATTCGCTTATTACCGCCTGTGTGTTTTGATGGTTGTCACTGTATGATTAAGACTACAAAACAGATTTTAGTAATACTGTAGGCTGGTAAATGAATGTTATATAAATTAATAAAATATGCAGATTTTAACATAAATTTTAGGTTTAATCTGTAAAACCTAAAAAGGTTGCTGCTGTATTTTTACAGTGAATTTCTGACAACCACAGGAGACAGGAGAGGTTTTTTTTTTTTAAGTGTTGCAACATTTTATCACATTTTGAGATAATGTCAGCCGATTTACACAATTTTCCATAATTTACCAAATTTTAAAAACTTTATTTTAAATTATTGAATTGCATTAAATTAAAAAGTAACATTCTCTTAATTATGATTGTGCCCTTCTACCCTACTTTTGTTTAACAACACTGTCAGCATTGTGACTACAGTATGTGCAGCTTTCTGTTGGTCCAAGTAACTAATACCAGAGCCATATATTCATTTTATGCCTCTTCCTTTTTAACACAACCAACCTGAATGTGTTTGTGTTTATTTAAGCCCGCCTGAAGGGCCTTGATAAGATAAATGTCTTGAATAGATTTCATATACTGGATTATCTATGTTCTTGCCCTTGTCCTTGGAATACAACAGGTCAAATGCATTTGTGCTATTTTTGCAAGAGAAAACAACTGGATGAAGTGCTTGCGTCAGTCTCCACTGTATTGAAATTGTCCCTTCAAAAGCACAGTTGTCTCAAAGTCTCTGAAAACTGACGACAGAAGGGTTAACCCCTTGAGGTGGCTTTAACAGAAGGGTTAACCCCCCCCCCCCAGGTCATTTATTGAGTTGCTAGCCCGAGGATAACTTATCAATGCTGGACCGACAATGCAGGGCCATAGAGGGAACCAGTACATGAAAAGCACTCAGGAAAAAAGCAGCGATCACATTTCTTTACTATGCTATAGCTTAATATGCAGAGACATCTGTAATTAGGCCATTTACAAGCAGATTGGTAAATCTGTGGAGATTTCAATATAGGAGTTTGAGGTGGCTTTACGCTTTAAGGGAGCCTTAAATATCTCCATCCATACCTACGTATTGTGCTCATGTAGAGAGAATTTGCTAAACAAAGAATCACTGTAACTTGACTCTAGAAGGTAACTCATTATCATGTGGGAAAGTTTGGTGTTTTCAGACTCTCAAGTGGGCAGTGTAGTACTGACTCATGTTTTATCGTTGAATAGTTCACTAGTATACAGTCATGTTATTTTTCCTTGGATACACTGAACACAGGGGGCTTTTCTTTCATGAAAAAGAGATACTAAGAGATTTATTTTATACAGGCCTAAACTCTGCCCCCTAATGGCACAGCCTTCAATAGATTTCGAACTGATTTGGCCACGCCCACAGAATGTTGAATTGGAATCTACTTTTTAAAAAGTGAAAAATGTACTGAAGTGCATTTCAAACAAATTGACACCCAAGCACACAACAGAATAATGTAATTATTTTTAAACAGCTTAAAATGTTTTGCAACATAAAGAAATGAATGAATAAATTAAATTAAAAAAATAATAATAATTAAGCTTTTCCAAAAAAACAGCATATGCTGGTTAGGTATGTTTTGACTCTGGGATGCTGGTTTAAGCTGGTCCTTTGCTGGTTTATGCTGATCCTTTGCTGGTTTATGCTAGTCCTTTGCTGGTTTATGCTGGTCCTTTGCTCGTTTAAGCTGGTCCTTTGCTGGTTTATGCCAGCATAAACCAGCAAAATAGGGCTGAGTGTAGGTGTTACGTTATTTTCAAATGCAACAGAGCATTATTAGCGCCACTCACTGGACATTTCTTTTCCGAATACAACCATAATTACAATAACCAATATAATAACATTTCATATTCATCTGTTTCTGAGAAAATTTAACTAGCTTTTAGTGCCACTCTCTGGATTTTTCATATTGAATGTGCCCCAAAACATGAAACATAATACAACAAGGAATGGAAATATCATTAAATAATTATAAATATTTTTATACTAACTGAACATACTAACAAAATAGTAGCCATATAGTGGCACAAAATGTCCACTACCTTGTTTTCAGGTAACTTATACAAATAAATAAAAAGGCTTATTCTGCTCATATATGCCAGTTCACATATCAGGGTAAAACTGCCATTCATGTTGTTGCTGTTTAAAAAAAAACATATTTTGGGAAATAAAAACCTGAGAGATAGATTTCACTTTAGGAAAAACTGAATCTGACTTTTATCTACCTAGGATGCACATTTGGGCTATGTTTATTGCTGCTTGCATCTATATGCCTAATTTAGGGTCTGCAGTTTTCACCCTCCAGCACATGTCCTGACATGTCTCTTTATTAACACAGTAAAACACACACAAACGCCAGAACAGGCTGACTGACCTGGTCCTAATCTTGTACTACTAACAGGTTTGTCCAAGGTCATAAACAGGGGAGAACTCATAGTCTAAACAACGAAAGTGTTATGGTGTTACAGCCTAGTACGAATACGGCAGAGCCTTCAGACCATGAAGCATTGGGGTCTAAAAAACAACCTCTTTTTCTGCCTCTTTCATTCAAAGTTTAGACAATTTTAAGAAAACATCCGTGCTTCGTACGGCAGGCTCTCCCCCGTCCCTTTAATCTCTGGCAGAAAACGACCTTTCAAAAAAACGTGCTGGGGAATCTGTCATGGAAGAACAAAGGCAGGGAGGAAATCATGTAGATAGTGGCACAGGGATCTGTAATTTATCACCTGTGAGCCCTGGGCGGTCCGCCGTGACAAGGGCTTTGAAGACGTGTGCACTGGGCCCCTCGAAGCGTGCATGAAGGAATGTGTGGACAGAAGAGAATGGAAGATGACAGTATCTCACACTTCAAAAAGAATGGTATCAACAAAGCCAAAGACATGCAACAAACACTTTTATTAAGTTTTATTAAAAAAGGAAATACTAACATCTTAACACTCATCCAATACAGCAGTGATCCTTGGCTGATTAATGACTTGTCTGCATAAATTGAATATATATTAAATATACAAATAGAATTAAACAAATTAATAAAATGTAGCCAATATTTTAATCTTTGATCAAAAATATTTATTGCTTTAGATAAAGTACAGCACGTCACTGCAGAACCCTGAACAATTTTGATCACGTGGAGTTAGACTGCCACCGTGTGTTCATATAGCTACATTGGAGTAAGTTTTTCATATATATATGTGTGTGTATATATATAATATGTGTGTGTGTGTGTGTGTTATATATAATGATATATGTCATAATAATAATTAAATGTTTAACAGAACATCTAAAACATGTCCAGTTCATAAAAAAGAAAAACATATAACATTCTTTTTATATAAACAACATTTTTCATATAAAAATGAAGCTATTCAATGCCAATTTTTTGCATTGTGACTCCCCAAATGTACACATCAAATATTTGTATTTACTGTAATAGTATTTGCAATGTATTATGGTAAACAGATAAACTGTAGATACGTAAACACAATATGATACAATACTATATTTTATTCATTTAAATCAGCATAAAAGCAGTTCAAACAAACACATTCATGTTGTTGAAATACTTAACCATTTAAATAATAGTTCTATATTGTTTTCTGTTTTCAGTATTTTTTTCATTGCAGGTTCCTAACTGGAAATGCTTTTAAATTTCTCATTTATGAAGTAATTTCTCATTTCCTTATTTTGATTGTGTGGTGAATCATGGCAGGTTTCGTGAGATGCGTCATGACGTCAGTTCAGTGTCGCGAGCACGCAGGTTTGTGTTGTTAAACAGGAAACGGTGAGAGGCGTTAGCAGCAGTTAGCCTGTTGGCTACCAGCACTGCGCACAGAAGCGAAATCAGAGCATAGCGTTTATCTGAAGAAGGGGATAAAGAGTATCGTTTGCCCGGTTGATTGGTTTCATCGGTGGGAGCGACATGTCAGAGACGTACGGTAATGACAGCTCGTTTGTGTTGTTGTTGTTAGCGCGTTTACAGCTAGCGCGAGCTGGATCAACATCATCATCATCATCAGGCAGACGATTTCTGACTCCAAACCTTAAGTTTTTACGCAAAAAGCTATTATTAGTACTTAATATTACAATCATATACCGTTAGAGTCATTACTGTAATTCTGGCCTGCGCAGGTTGTGTGTAAATATGTGTTTATTTATTGGGTCATTTCAACACTCTCAGATGGGCCTGTCAAATCAGCTTGTACTGGTTACGATGATATCTGAAATAATATGTGTACATAAATATGTTTGTGTATGCCGGGCAAGAGCTGCTCAACTGATTTGATAATTGATAAATATTCCATAAACTAATATATACATCGCTGTAAAACTCATTTCCTGTCTACTTAGAACTGCTGTAAGTAATTTATTTTAATATCATACAATACTACACAAATAGTATCCTTACCATCGTACAGAGAAATCACACGCGTGTTTGACAGTTCTATGCTCTGTAGACAGCAGTAAAGATGAGGGCCCGCTCTTATTTAGCCAATCAAAAACCTTCTCTGCCTGTCAAGTCATTTAAAGTGAATTGTGACTCTTTTTTTCCCCCTCAGTATTGTGAGAAATAAACTCGCAATTGCAAGTTCTAATGTCAGAGTTGCGAGATATCGGCTAAACTCGCAATTATTACTTTTTTTTTCTCAGAATTACACGTTTATATGTCACAGTTCTGGCTTTATAACAGTTGCGAGTTATAAAGTCAGAATTGTGAGATATAAACTCGCAATTCTGAGAAAAAAAGTTTTTCCTCAGAATTGGACTTTATAACTCGCAATTGTGAGTTTATATCTCACAATTCTGAAAAAAGAACTTAGAATTCTGAGATATAAACTCGCAATTGCGAGAATTAAAGTCAGAATTGTGAGATATATGCTCACAATTCTGAGAAAAAAAGTTTTCGCTCAGAATTGGACTTTGTAACAGTCGTAAGTTATAAAGTCAGAATTGTGAGATATAAACTCGCAATTCCGAGAAAAAAGGTTTTTCCTCAGAATTGGACTTTATAACTCGCAATTGTGAGTTTATATCTCACAATTCTGAGAAAAGAACTTAGAATTCTGAGATATAAACTCGCAATTGCGAGAAATAAAGTCAGAATTGTGAGATATAAACTAAATTCTGATAAAAAACCCTTTTACTTCAGAATTGGACTTTATAACTCGCAATTGTGAGTTTATATCTCACAATTCTGAGAAAAGAACTTAGAATTCTGAGATATAAACTCGCAATTGCAAGAAATAAAGTCAGAATTGTGAGATATAAACTCACAATTAAAAGAACTTAGAATTGCTAGAAATAAAGTCAGAATTGTGAGATATAAACTCGCAATTCCGAGAAAAAAAAGTTTTACTAGGATGTAAAAAAAGTTTACATCCTACTGTACTAGTAGGATGGCGGCGCGTTCACACGCTGCGGCTTCTCTCTCTCCCGACAGAAAGGTGTTTTCGTGTTTTTTTT